TACGCAAACTGATTTTTAATAAAGCCGCAAAAGCAGCAGGGACTCAGAGCCGCACACGGCCAGTCCGAAAACTATAAAGGCCACGCTCGGCCAGACCAAACAGCCTACAAGGCTAGTCTCAAGGCCGGCAAAGGTCCAGATGCCATCGACATCAATATGCTCGATAATTCCTACTTGACATATAACTAGACCGTAAAGGTCTTGCTAGGAAACAGGTCATACGAACCTTAACTCCGAAACGAACTACGAAAGGCTTGATCCCCTCAAAAGGGTACGTAGGCAGCCTTCACAAGCCGCAGCCCTAATCTTAAACGCTTTCCACTCCCTGGAGAGGGGAAAGATCACTTTCAACGGACCTTTACAACCATTAATTCCGCCTAACTTAACTAAAACTGGCTAACCACTCGCAAGAACCTTACGCTAAAGGCTCAAGATTCTAGAGAGCTGGGGGGCTAACTGTTGGTGTCAAAATCGGTCACAACGGAATCAATGGCAAAAAGTCTCCGCAAAAATATAAAAGAAATCGTTTTATAAAACTCAAAGAAATCGTTTTATAAAACTCGAAGAATCGTTTTATAAAACTAAAAGAATCGTTTTATTAAACTCGAGAATCGTTTTATAAAACTCGAGAATCGTTTGATAAACCTCGAAGAATCGTTTTATAAAACTCAAAGAATCGTTTTATACAACTCGAGAATCGTTTTATAAAACTCGAAGAATCGTTTTATAAAACTCGAAGAATCGTTTTATAAAACTCGAGATTCATTTTATAAAACTCGAAGAATCGTTTTATAAAACTCGAGAATCGTTTTATAAAACTCGGAAAATCGTCTTATAAAACTCGAGAATCGTTTTATAAAACTCGAAGCATCGTTTTATAAAATTAGAAGAATCATTTTATAAAACTCGAGGATCAATTTATAAAACTCGAAGAATCGTTTTATAAAACTCGAAGAATCGTTTTATAAAACTCGAAGAATCGTTTTATAAAACTCGAAGAATCGTTTTATAAAACTCAAGAATCGTTTTATAAACTCAAGAATCGTTTTATAAAACTCAAGAATCGTTTTATAAAACTCGAAGAATCGTTTTATAAAACTCGAAGAATCATTTTACAAAACCGCGAAAAACCGAAACCGCCGTAAAACGCGAACTAGCTTCGCCCCGGCTAGTTCGCCCAATGGCGAACTAAGAGGTGCTGACTTTGCCCCACAGGTTCTCATCGCCTAGTTCGCCATATGGCGACCTGGCCAAGCTGAACTAGCTCGCCGTACGTCGAGCCGACCATCCTGAGCCTCGATCTCCCACATCCTTGATTCAAGGCATACGTCCTTCGACACGATCGTATTCCGAATCACGGTCAAAATGTCTGCCGTTTCATCTCGATCCGTCCTATCGTTCGAGTTTTACGATAAAAACAGTACAACTTTGTTTTCTCGAAAAGAACTCGAGGAAATCGTATAAAACGGCAATGGTTAAACGAAACACCGAATATTGCCTAAATTATACGATTTATTCGAGATTTTTCGTAAAAATCGTACAAAACGCGTTTTTAATAAACCCCGAGTAAATCGTAGAAAACGGCAACGACTAATCGAAACATCGAACATTTCTTAGATTTACGATTAACTCGAGAAACTTATCTAAAACCGGCATCGTATCAGGAAACGATCTCGTCTAAAGTCGTAAAACGGATTTATCGCAAAACGGCTCGGAAAGTCATAAAACGCGATAAAAGCCACTCGCGACTTTAAACGAAGTCCAACCCGAAGATACGAAGACGTTTTGGCGATTTACTCGCAGAAAGAAGATAAATGTCAACCTTGAAGATAAATGTCAAGTTTGA